AAGAAAATGTTATTACCTTCTTTTGATGTCTTCCTCTAAATTGTCGGATTCACCGTCGAAGATGGGAAAAACCAATGCAAAACCGACACTTCAAAATGGCGGATGCCGTTCACGAACTACGCGATCTTGATTCCAAGTAACTATGGTTACTCGCGCAGTCCACGCGAATTCCGCGAACCTTGCTGGGGGGGCACTGGAGGCGAAAATCATTTTTGACCCTGGCTTTAATTAACCTGAGTGTGAGTATTTTGAGAGTTTGCACCATAATGCTCCAGGTGATCGTAATCCAAACTCGTTGAAATACAAAACGAATGACTAAAGAGTTTTATAAGCAAAAATCTCGTGGTTCATCATGTGACCCGGCCCTGTCCGTGCATGACAACGTCAATCATCATCAAGATAACACGCGTGATCAGCATGTGAACACCTCATTGGATCACAGTTAGTTGTCATGGTGTTGAGGGTCCAATGACCACTGGTTACTATTGCGAAATTTTTCCATTATGTGGCGGAGGAGTGGCTATTCTTATTATTAAACACGTTCAACCTTATTATTTGACAAAATTACAGGTGAGAGTAACATTTCATCGATACATCATAAAAGGAATAGTTGCCCAAATCAATGAACAATGTTACTTTTATTGTTTTATTTTTGTCTAATTCTGTTTTTACAAGAATTCCGACATTTTACAAACTGTTAGTACGAGCCAAAAACCCCAGTGGAACCATAAATTTCAAAATTATACAGAATGCCACTGAGGCAAGAAAATGCTTGAGTGGTATTTTTTGCACTTAAACTCAGAGGTTTTGCCCCACACAATTGTTTTAAGGGGTTATATCCTCCTTGCCAAACCCTCCCCTTGCTTCCTAGTCTATGTTGCATTATTTAGGGATGGAAAATTTCTATTGTTTGTTATAAAATATGAAGACTGAAATAGTCAAAACGAAGAATATTTTGTGAATGCATCCAAAGCAGAAATGTTATGAGTGTCTTTCCCTTAATTTTGCATGCCGAAAAATTCCCTCCATACTTTAACAACTGCAGCACGGAGATCAGGTAGACGCCAACAATACAAAAGAGGATTTATAGCTGAGTTAAAAAATATCAGGGTATCCGCCAAGATCCAAGCTGTCTTCTTGTATGTGTTGGTATCTGTAAGTGTTAATGAGATAAACCTTGGTAGATAACAAGTAACAGTACAGATATAAAATACAAACGTGCTCAGAGCGCTTCCGATCAACTTTTTCTGACTAGAGAGTTGCCCGACTGAAAGCTGTTGATTACCAGGTTCTCGATGTTGAATCTGTGAACGATGCTTAAGAACAATCTGATAAATTCTAACGTAAAAATTAGCCGAGGTTATCAGATACGCAATGATAAAAATGGCCAAAACAGCAATGTAGATCGCAGAGTCCCAAAATATCAAGCACGATAGAAAGAAAGTTGTTATCCATATAGTCAATAACGCAGATGTAGCACGAAATGACGTCATCAATGCGTTATATCGTAAGTGATAATGGAGGGCCAAGAATCGATCAAAGCTAATGGCGGCCATTGTGCCAAGCGATACCCCACAAGCAGCAAACGCCATAAGGGCTGTAAGAAGTTGAAGGAAATACACATCTATTAGAGACGTGACGATGTAAACTGGCTGAACTATTAAACCGACCAGAAGATCAGAAATAGCCAAACTAAAAAGAAACATTGTGGATGGAGACCGAAGTGATGATGTCTTCCATATGGCGATGGAGACCAAACAGTTCCCTAGAATGGAGACAAGTATCATGATCCCGTTTATAACGCAGTTTACGACTACAATATTTCCATATGATGATCCATTCGCTTGGAATTTGACTCTGGTATCAGCTGAATTCCCAGTGGTGCTCAAGTTTCCGTTGTACATCTTCGACGAAGCTGCTTTAGTTTTTTTAGCGGAAACATTGACCATCTGGATTCCTCGAGAGCTCAAGCCTCCATCAAAAAATAGACAAAGTGCCTCATTGACTAGAGCTTTGTCAGTAAAATTTTCATTTTCAATTAAGTCGCCTTTTAAAAGTTAAGTTCATAGATTTGTAAAGAGCAAAATACTCATTAATTTATGAATAGGATGATGAAAGGCCGTCGTACCTCAATGAAAATATTATATTCCATAAAGTCCTGATATTTGGGTCTTGAAGTAACGACTTCCTTTCTTGAATGTTTTTTTTCCTTTACATTAACGTGGGAATGGATAATGAAAGAGGATAATTTTTACCTTTAATTTGTCGGCTTTTTTTTGTGTGTGTTCACTCTTCCCAATTCAAAATATTCACACAACAAAACTTAAGGGACTTTTGGGTGTCCATTTGCAAAACAATTATTCGCAAGACGCGAATGGCAATCGCATCCTAAATCTTAATCAAGCGAACGTCCCTTGCGTTTTTTTTTCGTGAGAAATGGTGTTCGATTATTTTCGTAATTTGTAAACCCCTTGTTTGCATTTTATACCTAACCTTATTCTACTGTCACTAAAGTTTTTAGCATAACAAAAGTGAATAGTGAATATTGTTAAAGTACCTTACTTGTGAAAATTGGGCTAGAACGTCATTTTCATCTGTCTAAAATTTAAGTAAGACCACCGTGTAACACCTTAAGAAAATTGCAAGGGAGAAGGAAAATGTGTTTCCTTGTAATAATTTGTTTGTGTAATAATTTAATAATATATCTTAGTCGTTCACAAATTCAAGCTTTGCCACCTGCATCTTAACGACACATTACAGGGATTTAAGTGTTTAATATCACAAATTCGAACATAAATTTCCATGTTAGAAATATCAAAATTTACCCAAGGCCTTAGAGGAAAAATAAAAGAAATGATGCAAAGAAGCAAAAACTATAAAATAAAATAGAAAATCGAAAATGCAGTTGAACAGGCGCTGTACCTTCGTTCGCAGATTTATCCTTCAGAAAAAAAAAACTTTCAGACTTTAACTAATTGACAGAATTCTCTGAAATGATGATTGGATAAAGATATGGTAAAAAGCGAAAAAGTTGACAAAAGAAAAACATGCCTTTCGAATTCAATATCACTACTTCCTTTCGTATGGCGTTGAAAGTAAAACTGCATCATCATTATGCAATGATCAATGTGGTTAAACAGGAACTGAATTTCGAATTAAGTTTTCAGATCCTGAGTATCGACGAGTTGTGCGCAGAATTTGGGTCTTCTTTTAATCATCTTTACCAAAAGACCACAATATCTTGTGAGCCTGTCAAAGATGTCCATCTTATCGTGTAACGCCATAGAGAAAACCTGCGTATATTGTTGTATCGTATACACGGAGACACAGTGAGGCCTGTCCAAAAAACGTAATTTGGCATAAGAATCTTCCGGGAAGGCTAATAAATTCTTCGAAACTATATAAGCAAATTTCGTGTAAATTACTCGATTTCTACGTGCTTTTAGTCATAATTTTTCTTTGAATGAGTATGTCTGCTGAGATGTCATTCAATGTTTTTTTTTTCGAAGACAAAGACATTCAGAATTTGATTGTTCAATGAGACTGTTCATTAAGCCTTTTATTTTTTACTTAACGCCACTGAACAAAATTTGAAGCGACCAGGAATGGTGCCCTTCAAATTTTAATATAACTCTGTATTTATTTTCCCATGAATTTGGTTTGTATTGCTTCGCATGATCC